AGTACAAGGGCAGTCATCACAGAAACTTTTGGTTTTGATCATGCATTGTGAACTATAAACAGTCAGTTCAAATATGAATATTCGTTTGATTTTTATACTTGATTTATATGTGGATACCACATTTCTCTCTTTATTATTATTATTTTGAATAAAATGCTGAAGTGGTAGGTAGATGCAAGATAAAGGTAGAAAACATAGTTTAGTGTTGTAAGAGAGCAAATGTAGATGATCAGGTGTGTGCCTGTAGACTATGTGTTAATCCAAGCTAGACAATGCCCTGTTAAAATTTTTACTAAGATGAGTAAGTTGACATGTATTCATCCATGAATAATTACTTTTGAAGTATAATCTGACAAAAATATTTTTTATGCTTCTGAAAGCTCAGAAGCAGTCTGACCTGAGACAGTGAGGTGAAAATAAAACATGGCAGCTTCAACATAGTATCGAGGAAGATGAAGACTGAAAAGTTTGCATTGGACATAGTGAAATGGAAGTCATTGGTGACTTAATGGATTAATGGGATAGAAGCCAGGTTCACATGGGTTGTAGGTGAAGAAATGGAGGCAATGAAACTAGACAACTCTTTAATGAAGTTTAACTAAAAGAAAGAAAAAAGGGAATGATACCTGGGGAAGATGTGAGAACATTATCAAAAAATAGATGTTTTCAAAAACATTTGTTAAGTCTGATATAATTTTTTTTAATATCCCATTTTTTATTTAATTTCGTTAAGAACAGATGGATTTACCTTTCTGTATGTTCACAATTGAGTTGTATTTCTTTTATGAATTACCTTATAACTTTTAATACATTTTGCTATTTCAGTAGTTGTCTTTTCACTTTTTGATTAATAAAGCTATCTTTGTATACTTCAGTAATTGTTGCTCATCATATTTTGCAAAATCTTCCCCAGTATGTCATTCATCTTTTGTCTTTTTTTTCGTGTGGGTTTTTTAATAGAGAACTTTTTTCTTCTCATTTTTATTGTGTTCAGTTCATCCTTCCTTTTCTTTTTCCTTATATTTCCTTAACACTTTGGTGTCATGTCCAGTTAAACACTGTATCAGAGTCAATGTACATCATCTAACAATTCTATCCCCCTCTCCCAACCCAGTGAAAATTTTTGTTGATACTCCTTTTACTTTATTTCTGTCAATATATTTTCTAAATGCTATTTCTGGAATAAATATTAAAGTTAGAATCATAATTTTTCTACAGCATCAAGTAGTGGGACCAGACTTCATAGAGGTTATGTAGAAGAAGCCACATTAGAAGACAAGCCATCACAGACAACCCATATTGTATTTGTTGTGCATGGCATTGGGCAGAAAATGGACCAAGGAAGAATTATCAAAAATACAGCCATGTGAGTTTCTGATAAATAATACATTCTCCATCTAATCTAGAATCTAAACTTTTGTCCAAAGTATTAACAGAGTTTAGGGATTCCACCACATGTTTCTCCAATGCCAACTATTCTCCTATAAGTTGGAAATGAAGTTGCTGGATGAAATTTTGAGAGTAATTATGTCTAGATGTTTTGAATTTTTTTTTTCCTCCACAGCATGAAGGAAGGATAAGAAAACCTATTTAGCTTACTATATTAAGTTAATTTACATTAAACTAAGGTTAAAAGCAAGAAAAATGTGTAGTTTTAAGTTTGTATCTTACTCTGAACTGCAGAAACTGAGAATACTGCACAGTTGCATAATTCTGAAAAATCTAAGAATTGTTTAAATACCGTTTAGCAGTTTAACCTGTCCAATTAATTACTACCGAAGGAAATGAAGCTCTAAATTTTACACAGAACAGTGGATGTTATACCAACATACCAGGCAGGTTATTTGCCTCATAAATTTATTTATATTCAGCTTTACTCTAAAAACTATGTAAGATTTTATGGGGATGGGGGAATATGTGTGTGTCTGAAAAATATTAAGGACTGTGTCAAAATGTTAGGGTCAAGGATTCCACCACAAATTTGGCTCTGTACTAGTAGCCAATATAAAGAAGAATCTTTATCGATTTATGATGTGATGAGAATAAATCAGTTGGTGAGAATATATTTATCTGTTTCTGAGGCTTCCAAGTAATGTATTTCTTGAATCTTGTGAAGCAAATATTGCATGATACAAGGATTTAAGCCCTCAGCAACATGTCTATAATAATACAGTGTTGAGTTTTGTTTGACTTTTTATTGTATTCCTCTTAATGCCAACTGATGGATTAAAGTAAAAGTATAGTTTATCTTTTTAAAAAAAAAAAGGAGGAGCGAAGATGGCAGCATCAGTAGTTCAGCAGAAATCTCCTCCCAAAAACATACATATTTTTGAAAATACAACAAATACCACTCTTCCTAAAAGAGACACCAGTAGATACAGTACAATAGCCAGGCTACATCTACATCTGCGAGAACTCAGCATCACATGAAGGGGGTAAAATATAAGCTGTGGCCCAGCGGGAACCGAACAGTCCCTTACCTCAGACTCCAGCACGAAGAAAGGAGTTGGAGCAGGGAAGGAGTGAAAGCCCAGGACTGCTAGACAACCAGCTCTAGAAATCCGCACCAGGAGCACAGACACACAGTGCACTGGGTGCTGGATATTAGAGAAATGGAAAAGCAAAACCTGTGAGCAAATCCCCGCAACCAGCGCCCCTGATACAAAAGAAAAGCAAGTGCTCTTTGCAAGTCTTAAAGGGACAGGAACCTCACAGCAGGACGAAGTCGTCCCAACACACACACCCCAGCACCTGGGAATCTGGGGAACTCTAGGCGACCTAACCCCCTTGGTGACAGTGCAGCTCTGAAGCCCCTCATGGGGATAAGCAGTCGTTCCCCCAACTGGTGCACACCCCGACACACTGGCCCAGTAGTGGGAGAGCGGCAACGCGTGCCGGGAGAGGTGGCGCCAGAGGGGCCTGGGGGCAGCCTGCATGAGCCCGTGGCAGCGGCAGCCAAGTGGTCCGGGGCCGGCCCACCTGGGCTGGTAGTGGTGGCAGCGAAAGAGCAGCCCGCGCGAGCCCGTGGTGGCGGCACATGGGCAGCCTGGGACCAGCCCATGTGGGCAGGCAGCAGGTGGCGACAGAGCGGCCCGCATGAGCCCCCGGCGGCAATGCCAGATGGGGCCAGGAGCGGCTCGTGTGAGCCAGCAGTGGCTGCTCCCTGAGCAGCCACTCAGCCCAGCACACAGCTGCCCAGGCCATACCCAAAGGCCACTGTTGGTACACAGCTTCCCAGCAGGGATGCAGATTTCATGGGAGAGCACACCTGGCATGCCTGCCACCCCCCGCAAGGCTCTGAGCTAACACTGACGGACAACCCGCTCTCAGCAGCTTAGGGGATTAACCTGGAAGCTGCTCCAGGAGTGCAGGTAACCAAGAAAGGCAGCGGAGAAGGGCAAGGTGACCAGCAAGCAGGAAAAGACTTTGTTCTCCCAGTGGACACACGCACTACTGGCCAACAGCCACTGCTATCACCATGAAAAGGCAGAAGAATTTAGTCTGATCCAAAATAGTCCAGACAACCCCTGAGAGAGGGCCAGAGGAGATAGACCTAACCAATCTCCCGAAAATGAATTCAAAATAAAGGTCATAACAATGCTGATGGATCTTCACAGAAATATGCAAGAGCTAAGGGATGAAGTCCAGAGGGAGATTACAGAAATGAAACAATCTCTGGAAGGACGTAAGAGCAGACTGGATGAGGTGAAAGAGGCTGTTAATGGAATAGAAATCAGAGAACAGGAATGCAGAGAAGCTGACACAGAGAAAGATAAAAGGATCTCCAGGAATGAAAGAATATTAAGAGACCTGTGTGACCAATCCAAACAGAACAATATTCACATTATAAGGGTACCAGAAGAAGAAGAGAGAGAAAAAAGGATACAAAGTGTCTTTGAAGAAAAAATTGCTGAAAACTTCCCCAAACTGAGGGAGGAAATAGTTGCTCAGACTATGGAAGCACACAGAACTCCCAACAGAAGGGACCCAAAGAGGACAACACCAAGACATAATAATTAAAATGGCAAAGATCAAGGACAAGGACACAGTTTTAAAGGCAGCTAGAGAGAGGAAAAAGGTCACCTACAAATGAAAACCCGTCAGGCTATCATCAGACTGCTCAACAGAAACCTTACAGGCCAGAAGAGAATGGCATGATATATTAAATGCAATGAAACAGAAGGGCCTTGAACCAAGAATACTGTATCCAGCATGATTATCATTTAAATATGAAGGAGGTATTAAATAATTCCCAGACAAGCGAAAGTTGAGGGAATTTGCCTCACACAAACCACCTCTACAGAGTATTTTAGAGGGACTGTTCTAGATGGGAGCACTCCTAACGCTAAATAGATGTCACCAGAGAAAATAAAATCACAGCAAAGAAAGAAGACCAACCAAATACTAACTAAAGACAAAAAATAAAATCAGCTACCCACAAAAGCAGTCAAAGGAAACACAAAAGAGCACAGAACAAAACACCCAACATATGAAGAATGGAGGAGGAGGAATAAGAAGGGAGAGAAACAAAAAATCACCAGACAGTGTTTATAATAGCTCAATAAGTGAGTTTAAGTAAGATAGTAAAGAAGCTAACCTTGAACCTTTGGTAACCATGAATCTAAAGCCTGCAATGGCAATAAGTACATATCTTTCAATAATCACCCTAAATGTAAATGGACTGAATGCACCAATCAAGAGACACAGACTAATAGAATGGATGAAAAAGCAAGACCCATCTATATGCTGCTTACAAGAGACTCACCTCAAACCCAAAGACATGCACAGACTAAAAGTCAAGGGATGCAAAAAGATATTTCATGCAAACAACAGGGAGAAAAAAGGTGTTGCAGTACTGGTATCAGACAAAATAAACTTCAAAACAAAGAAAGTAACAAGAGATAAAGAAGGATATTACATAATGACAAAGGGATTTATTCAACAAGAGGATATAACTATTATAAATATATATGCATCCACTATAGGAGCACCAGCATATGTGAAACAAATACTAACAGAACTAAAGGAGGAAATAGAATGCAATGCATTCATTTTGGGAGACTTCCACACACCACTCACTCCAAAGAATAGATGCACAAAACAGAAAATAAGTAAGGACACAGACGGACTGAACAGCACACTAGAACAGATGTACCTAATAGACATCTACAGAACTCTACATCCAAAAGCAACAGGATACACATTCTTCTCAAGTGCACATGGAACATTCTCCAGAATAGACAACCTACTAGGCCACAAAAAGAACCTCAATAAATTCAAAAAGATTAAAATCTACCAACCAACTTCTCAGACCACAAAGGTATAAAACTAGAAAGAAATTCTACAAAGAAAGCAAAAAGGCTTACAAACACATGGAGGCTTAACATGCTCCTAAATAATCAATGGATCAACAACCAAATTAAAATGGAGATTCAGCAATATATGGAAACAAATGACAACAACACAAAGCCCCAACTTCTGAGGGATGCAACGAAAGCAGTTTTAAAAGGAAAGTATATAGCGATCCAGGCATATTTAAAGAAGGAAGAAAAATCCCAAATGAATAGTCTAACATCACAATTATCGAAATTGGAAAAAGAAGAACAAATGAGGCCTAAGTTCAGCAGATAGAGGGACATAATAAAGATAAGAGAAGAAATAAATAAAATTAAGAAGAATAAAACAGAAAAAAATCAATGAAACCAAGGGCTGGTTCTTTGAGAAAATAAACAAAATAGATAAGCCTCTAGCCAGACTTATTAAGAGAAAAAGAGAATCAACACACATCAACAGAATCAGAAACAAGAAAGGAAAAATCAGGACGGACCCCACAGAAATACAAAGAATTATTAGAGAATACAATGAAAACCTATATGCTAACAAGCTGGAAAACCTAGAAGAAATGGACAACTTCCTAGAAAAATGCAACCTTCCAAGACTGGCCAAGGAAGAAACACAAAATCTAAACAAACAAACAACAGAATTGAAGCGGTAATCAAAAAACTACCCAAGAACAAAACCCCTGGGCCAGATGGATTTACCTCAGAATTTTATCAGACATACAGAGAAGACATAATACCTGTTCTCCTTAAGGTTTTCCAAAAAATAGAAGAGGAGGGAATACTCCCAAACTCATTCTATGAAGCAAACATCACCCTAATACCTAAACCAGGCAAAGACCCCACCAATAAAGAAAACTACAGACCAATATCCCTAATGAACATAGATGCAAAAATACTCAACAAAATATTAGCAAACTGAATTCAAAAATACATCAAAAGGATCATACACCATGACCAAGTGGGATTCATCCCAGGGATGCAAGGATGGTACAACATTCGAAAATCCATCAACATCATCCACCAC